AATTGCTGGAAAAGCTCAGCAAGTCTGGAGAGAAATCGGAGTTAACATTTTGGGTCCAGTGACCCTTCCTAAGAACTCAATTCTGAGGAAAGGAAATTTCTGAATTTGATACTTTTGTAGCTGTACAATAATGTTTTCATGTACATGCAAATGAAGTCTGAAATGGTGACATGTAAGGATGTGTGAAATTACATTACCAGGTCTATCAGCCTTTTGACAAACAATAAGACTTCAACGATATATAATTGTTCTGAGTGTCTTAATACCCTCCAAACTATCTCTACCCACGACCTAACATGTATTATATCACTGAATTTGATTACAGATGGTACAGATTATTCTGTGGTCAAGCTGCGAACATCTGGCTTTCATACTGCCCTGATGTTTGCTTTGGAGGCATGTAAAAAGTATGGAAAACAAGCAGTCCTGAGTGATTCTGGTGGGGGTTACCCAGCGACTTTGACTCTATCCTTTCTTTAAGTCAGTGTGTTAGTTAACTGACAGAAATAATTTCCTTTTAAATTAATTATCTATTTCAAAATGATCAATTGATACATTTTTAATATGCACTTGCTTAATTTAGCTATGCTCCTATCTTCCCCCTCCGTCTCATAGTATAATGTTTGTTGAGACGGTGCATATTAGCCTTTATCCAAGCACTTGTGCTTGAGTCAGTATGTCTTGAAGTAGTACTATATTTTTGCCTTTCCCGAAGGTCAGGTACTTTGCATACAAATGTAGGCTGCTTGAAGCGGAGAGCTGGCTCTGCATTCCAATTTGCAGTTAGCTATATGACAACCCTTGCAGATACACTGGGGCAGCACATTACAAGAAGCAATTGTAAGCATTATCCCATATTTTGAGTTCCCATGCAGTGAATTTGTGCTGACACATTCAGCTGTTAACAATAATTAATGTTGTGAATGATTTGGAAATAACATGAACATTTAAAGATGACCTATGCTGATGTAGGAATATCTTTTTAAGGTTTGTTAAGTTTTTAAAATATGTTACAAGCAGATGTCATTTCCTGCAGAGGCCTTTGATCTGTTGAACTTTTGAATGTCTGTTCTACCAAATAAAATGCCACAACATAATGGTAATGATCTGCGTAAACTGTGAACTTCTCCTTCCAGACTAAATTACTTCCTTTGTTCATTTGTCGGTTTTCCATTGTTAAATAGTGATCTTGTGGTCAGTGCTTTCCTGCTTGGTAACATATTCTCCCAGTCTGGAAACTGACTTATCACCTGAGGTCAAACTAGAGTAGTAGACTCTTTACTAAATTACAATGCCTCATTCACTATCAACCCCACCACACAACATTTCAAAATGTGATTGAATTACCAGTTTGGTCACCAAGACATATTGTGTTCAGGGGGAGAAAAGTAATTTAGTTATTTGTATTTTAGTTATTAGTGAAATATTTAGCACATATATCAGCTGCTTTTCTTAGAAAATCTGTTTAGCTTCCTGTCAGGTTTTTGTTCCTGCACTAATAGATTAATAAAAATAGGACAAAAAAACTTGAATAAAACTGATTGCAAATAGAATAAAGTGCACCCACATAATATTTATGATTAATTCTTACTTTGCATTTTTATTGCAATTATTTTCCAATTCAAGGGAAAATCTTTTGTCATAGATCTTTTAGCACATTATTATTTCCAGTTCTGTGGTGTATGATTGGCTTTTGGATTGTCACTTAGCTTTGTCCCATTAGTTACAGGTATTTCTTGCTTTTGATTCTCAACTCTGCTCAGTACAGAGATTTTTTGACTAAATGTTTAATTGCCCTGCCAATTGTCTTTGTTTCACATTCAGAGTGCTTTTCATACATGCCTGAGTATTGCTTTCTCTTTCACCTCTTCACAACACCATATGATCCCAGAAGGTTTTAGAGCATGTCAGGTGTAGATGTGGAACAATTTGTGGTAATTTTCAGAGATAATGAGTGTACAGGGTTGAATTGACTGCAAGTACTTCATTTTGCTGAGCAGTTAAATGTGTGTCTGGAAGGGTTAAAACAAAAAAAGAATTTCTTTTGCATTGTAGGATGATTGGCATAGACATTGCTGGCTTGTTGCTTTAGCAAAGGCAAAGGATATTGATCTTAATTTGTGGTCAGCTAGGTGTTCTCAACTAGAATATTTTCAGGAGTCTGTCACATTTTCCCATGAAAGCTAGGTAAACAATTAAAGGGGCTAACTGATTTTTCAATGGTAATTCCAATTCAAAGGGGCAGAAAATCTAAACAACATTTGCTTTTTAAAATGAAAATTGAGCAGCAAAAACTCGCCCTCCATCGGCCGCACTTCTGTGGTACCTTTTGTTGTTCATTCTTGGAACTGCCTTGATTCTAGATTAAAGCAAATGTGAGTTTGGTAGGGCACTGCACCCAGGTCCAGGGTCATTGGATGTCAGTCAGCAGATCTGAAAACTGTTTCTCTCTCCATTGCTAACTTTTTCAAGGCCTGAGAGAATGAAGTGCTGCAAGTTCAGAAGCAGATAGGTAGTGAATCAGAGGAGCAGGGAAATTGAGACTGTCTGATCTTGTGCTACTAATTCTCAATGCAAAGATCAGAGGACAAAAGTTTAGAGGAGAGGATCCAGGTGAAGGGGAAATATTGAAGTGGGTAACTGGATCCTAACCAAAAAGCTCAATTCATTGTGGCAATGGACATGATTGGATGACGAAGCTTTTGTTAAGGGCAGATCATTTGGAGTCAGAAATGGGGTCGGGGAAGAAAGGCGTGGCAGGGCATTGGTTCACGTGCTGTTGAAGCTTGTAATTTCTTCCCACCTAAAAGGAGCAATAAAAGACTGGGTGCTGGTTGAGTAGTTTGAAATGAAACAGCAGGCAACTCTGAGTTGGTGTTGTTGAAAAGGACAGTCAAGAAGTGCACTGGCATCATTTGGCATTGGAAGCAAATCTCGGGTTCTCAAAACTATTGAAAGGTCATCAGCCAGAACCATTAACCCTTTCTCTCCAAAGATGTTGCCTGACCTGCAGACTGTTCCTAGCAGTTTCTATTTCTACTTCAGACTTTCCAGCAACTGCAGCATTCTGCTTTTATATTTCTGAGCTGTTACTTGACACTAATTTGTGAACACATTCAGTAGTTTTAGCCATAGTGAATTTTGGTTGTTTTGTGTTGGAACCTCCAAATGTTATTAACGAGAAAAGATTTGAATTTAAGCAACAACAATGAGGCTATAATTACTAAATTACAGAAAAGCATTATTGGATGCAATAAACTAGCCATTTGCTGGTTTAGAACTAGCAACTTGAGTTTGGTCTCTGATCAAGCAGCAACACATTTAAGCCCACTGCACCAACACAATATAAAAATTCTGCGCATTCTGCCCAGAGAGAGTTGATCCAGCAGTCAGAAGCTTAAATGGATGGAGTGGGGAGGAAGGAATTCGTTCCTTCACTTTCAAGTTAAGACCTCTTAGATTTGAAATAGTTCAGATTTGATACTAATTTGTTGCCAATTGGATTTACCATCGTGATGCGAGATAATCACTTCTGGGAAATGTTTTCTTGGCTTCATTCCTGTCAGAGATCCAGCAATGATTATGGATTTTCAATACAAATTTGGAGTTCATTCAAAGCAGTGTAAGAGTACCATAGGTGTGCACCAACCTCTCCATTATCCTCACCTTGTCAGTTCTTGCTATCCTAACATTTAAATCAATAATTATGCTATGTACAATTTGTAGTCCTGTAACGATTGAACTTAACATTAAGAATCACGAATTACAGTGATCACTATAATTGTGCATATTCTGTCATTGTTTATATATGATTTTAAGCTTCCTTCTTTGATAGGAAACTACAGTATTTTAGCTCTTAAGATTCTTATTGTGGGAAATAAAAGACTAGTTTGGAGAACTAATCCTGTACTGTAATTTCACGATAAGATTTTTAAAATTTCCTTTTATAGTTTAATTTGCCACTCGTTCACCAAAATGGCATTATACCCTTCAGAATAATTTATTACATTAAATATACATGTGACTACTTTTACTTTTGCTCCCTTCACAAATGTTGTATTTAGTGAGGTGATGGTGTAAGTGGTACTATCACTAGACTATTAATTGAGAGACCCAGGTAATGTTCTAGGGACCTGGGTTCAGTTACTGCTGTGGCAGACAGTGGAATTTGAATTTAATAAAAATCTGGAATTAAGAATCTAATGATGACCATGAAACCATTGGCAAATATTGGAAAACCTCAATGGGTTCACTCATACTTCAGGTAAGGTAACCTGATATCCTTACCTGGTCTAGCAAACATGGGACTCCAGACCCACAGCAATCTGGTTGATTCTTAACTGCCCTCTTGGCAGTAGGGAGGAGAATTAAATGCTGGTCCAGCCACATACTGGAATGAATTTAAAAAAAGTTAAATCCATCCATTGCTAGTTTCTAAATCTATAGAAGTAGATTTTAAATTGGGTAACCACAACATTTATGGCAAGGAGAAACTGGAAAGATGTGTCGCCAGCTTAGTTCTTTGCAGTATCTTTACATAAGGTAAGTCAACATTTCCTTGTCGATCCTCTCTGGTAACTGGGAATCCAAAATTTGATGCTAAAATTTTGTAGTAATGTGAATACAACCATCTGTGAACAACAAGGGAGCTGTTCAGATGTTCACTGTAAATTGAATGAAATCTTATGTCGGTCTATCTTGCTACAATGGTATTGTTCTAACTGTTATATAGATACTGTGTGATGTTAAAGCTTTAGTGGTGGTTTGTTGTTTACTAAAAATTATGCAGTTTGAGGTCAATCAGAACTTAATTGCTTTGGGGAGCCTAGAATTTGCTCTGTCCCATTCCCCATGTGGGCCAGGAGTACGTTTTGCAAAATTGGGTGCTCTTATTTATTATAATCTCTCCATAAGTTCTATCTTTCATTGAGTTAATTTGTTTACTTTTATCAGTTTTCATTTTATATAATTACTCCAACATTTTTGTTTGTTTTTTCCAGAATGTGATTGCAATGAATTTGGTATTGAGACACAGCAGTGTAACCAAACCAATGGCCACTGCATCTGTCGGGAAGGGGTTGCAGGTGAACGTTGTGATAAGTGCGCTAGGGGGTACTTTGGTACATTCCCACATTGTGAACGATGTCATGCATGCTTCAGACTCTGGGATAAAGAAATTGAAGAACTGACTAATCGAAGCAAACAACTTGTAGCGCAGGCTGAAGTCATCAAATCTAGTGGAATAATTGGGCCTTACCAAGAAACTGTTAATGCTGTACAGGAAAAAATTAATGATATACGAACCCTACTTGCTGAAAATCCTGCTACTGAACCACTTGACAGTATTGGGGATCTCTTGGATGAAGCCAAGTAAGTAAGATTAAGTTCTGAGGAAGGGGCACCGGGCCCGAAACGTTAACTGTTTTCTCCTTCACAGATGCTGCCAGGCATGCTGAGCTTTTCCAGCAACTTCTTGTTCCTGATTTACAGCATCCGCAGTTCTTTCGGTTTTTATTTAAGTAAGATTAAGATTGTGTTAATTTCTTCTCTTGCCCTCATTATGTACACTGATATTTCGCACTCCATGCTGCTGATACTGGGACGTAGTGCTGCTGACGGCACTTCATTTACAATATGCCTTTTTAATGGGAAGCTACCTAAAGAAAAGCACTGGGGATATTTCACAATCTGAATGCAGTACTCAAGTGTGAATTTGCAATTGGTTTATATGACGAGATTTGCTCTATGGTCAAAATGACGAATTGACTGATAGCATGAACTATATGGTAAAAAATATGAATAGATGTCTTCATCTTAGTTGTTGTGTAATGCTGTAGCAGATAACAGTGATGGGGCCACTTGGTATAATTTCTTTCTTAGATTTAATCCTAAAGAAGGTCACATTGCCAAAAATTAATAATGAAGATTCTTTTCTAGTGGAATCATACTGTTGAACACTTGCCTACCAGAACATGTTCCCATGGGTAAAAGACCAAAAAGACTTTTTGGAAACTAACCATATTTACTGAGCTAGACAATTTGGCATCAAAATCTTCGTTCATGTTTGGCCGTCTGTGCACTACAGTTAATCTCGTTAAATTGGTCTTTATCTAGTTGTGATTAACCAGGAATGTTTTAAGCTTTTTCTACTCCTAACAGGTCAATAGGGAAATGTTGTTAAAAACCATCTGCAAGGCAGCTGCGTGAAGCAGTTTTCATGCATTTATAAACATTTTTTGGCTTACTTTGACAACTGAAGCTCACATATTTGGCGCGTTGCTCCAGCAATTCCCTTTTGAATCAAAGTTACTGATTCTGAGTTTTCTGAATTAATTTTAAAACGAAGGTTAATTGAAGAACATTAAATAATGTACACTGTTGTCATCTTCATTCCTTCAATTTACGCCCATACTGATTCCACCCACTGGCCTCCATTTCTGTATATCCCCAATGCAGATACACGTTATTGTTGTTTGTATCAGTATGTGTTACAATACCACTTTTTTTTTTAAAAAAACGTATTCCCAATATGACACTGGAAACTCAATAAGCAAATTCTCAGGAATAGTGTCATAGTTTTGTCCATATTGTCTGTGTTTTTTTAATATAATTTAGGTTATACACAAGGTTACATACGAATACAATATTGAGTGGACATGGTTGCGTTCTTTTGCATAAGGCATCCCACACATACTGCGTTCATTTAGATCAGCCTGCTTGCCCCTTAGAGGGGTAAGATTTTACATGTAAGATGTCACAATGCTTTTGTACTTGAAGATTGATGTTGCTGCTCATGGGAAAAGAACTGGTAACATTTGGGATTTGCAGTCTTCCGTAGGATACAGAAAAGTGTCATGACTTGTAATCTAGAAGATTTAACACATTGAGACGTGTCACTGAGTCTCCTCCATTTGATATCAGTTTCAATAATTGTATGTGGAGAATGGACTGGATTATCTTTCGCTATCTTTGGAGGGTTTTAGATATGGGTACTTGGTCACTATCAAATTAATTCTCTTCTGATTTAATCAAGTGTTAAATCCTTTTAAATGTTGCATGTTGTGGTAATGTTACCATATTTCAAGGATTTTAAAGTAATTTCATCTGGGATACTATGGCTGTCCTTAGTAAACTAATTAGATTAAGGTTTAAAATTCTTTGATTTCAGGAAGAAAGTTCTTGACCTTGCAGAAAAGGTTACTGTAATTGAATCAGATATTGCAACAACAGCAGACCGAAGTAATGTGACAGACGGAGAAATAAGTGTCCTTCAGACAGATGCTGAAAGTTTGAAAGCTGTTGTGAATGACCTAGCAGAACAGTTGGAGTACATTAAGAATTCTGATGTCCATGGTGAGGATTTGATTATGATAACTGAAAATTGAATGCTGTTATATTAATATCTATGCGTTCATTGATACCTCAATATCAGAAGTTGGTTGTCTTTGTTTTATAAGTTTTTATGGATTTACATTGATTTTGAATGGTGAGGAATGAAATTTTGAAATGTCTTCACAACACTCTGTAAACTGATAAATGCTTCACCTTATTTCAAAATAGTGAGAATGTGTTTGACATTTCTTTGGATATTTAAAGCATCTGTTGGATGTTAGTTACAATTTCAGAAGTTACTCAGTTGTGTTCCTAACTGTATGCTTTGTGAATGGAACTCCAGGAAGTGTTGCATGATGCTTTGGTGTAACTGCAATAGTTTGTTAATCAGTTTCTGTAATGTTCTACTGTGTGCATCAGTATAAAAGGCAATGGTATTTATTGTGCATAGCTCTACATTGATATGATTAGACTGCTGGACTAAATTTTCTATTGCTCCACAGAATCTTGTCATGTCACCTTTTAAAGTAATGCATGACTTTTCTGTTTTCTGTTCTCTGCAATACTCTGTAGGAGCCTTGGATAGTGTCCAGAAATATTTTAACCAGTCTCAGGAGGCTGAAATGAAAGTTAATGCTTCAACCACTGATCCTGATAACATACTGTTGGAATCTTTTAGCACTCGTGAAAAGGTGGATGATATGATTTTACAGAGTCAGGATCACTTTGAGCAACAGCAAAAAGAACATTCACAAAGTCTAGAAGAACTGGCTGACAAATTGCAGAGTCTAGATCTCTCACCATTAAATAAAAAGGTACATTTCAAGGTTGATTTTAACATTTGAAAAGCATGTTAGATCTATATTAAGCTGCCATTTATTTTTAGATGGCTATTTCTAATGGGTCCTTTTGAAAAATATGTATAATCAAATATATATGGTTAAAAGCAAGTTGAGTGTGACATGGTTTCTAATAGTGATTGATTGTAACACCAATGCATTCCATCTAAACTGCATTTTTAAGAAAGTTTTTTTGTTGTGTTAGTTGTGCCACTGTATTTGGTGTCTATCCTGCTTTTAAGGTATTGTGACCAGAGCGCTCCAATCATCCAAGACAGAATAAAAAACAATTTTTATGAAGTGATATGTTCTGAAATACATTGCTTACTCTATTTGTCCAGATTTGTGGTGGCCCTGCAGGAATGCCTTGTGCTGAAGCAGTATGTGGTGGTCCAAACTGTCGAGCTGATGATGGAACGAGAAAGTGTGGTGGGATTGGCTGTGATGGACTAGTAACTTTAGCGCATAATGCATGGCAGAATTCCATGGATTTTGACACAGAGATTCTAAATGCTTTGGCAGAAGTGGATCAGCTTTCAAAAATGGTATGTTGTTGCATTCAGAAATGTTATTTGCCCAGTAAACCAATGCAGTTTATCGAGCATTTTGTTGCTTTGCTTGAATTGATTTGTAGGGAATAAAAGTCTGTGTTTATAAAAGTGTGAATGAAGCATGCAGGTTTTCCAACACTTCATGACAGCATTCATCGAAACAATTGCCAGAAAATGCAATGTTTTTAAATACCGAACCAGATCTTGGATATTTCATGAACAGCACCAACACCATCCCCAAAATAAAAGCCGTGCTGCCCTTGTAGAGTTTTTCTTTCCGTATCTACATGTGGCAGCTGACAAAATGAGAAACAATATTTAACCTGCTAATAAAAGCAAAATACTGTGGTTGCTGGAAGTCTGAAATAAAAACAGAAAATGCTGGAGAAACTCAGCAGGTCTGGCAGCATCTCTGCAGGCAGAAATAATTCACATTTCAAATCTGATATGATTCTGCTTTAAAATTAGTTTAACACCTGTTCTTGTCCCAATGTTAAGAGTCCATTAGAAGGAAGAAATAGCAGAACATTTAGCAAAGCTTAATGTAATCAAACAGGTTCAACATGGTTTTATGGCAGGGAAATCATGTTTGACAAATTTACTAGAGTTTTTTTGAGAACATGACAAGCAGTGTTGATAAAGGGGAACTGGTAGATGAAGTATCTGGATTTTCAGAAAGCATTCGATAAGGCCTCCTATAAAAGGCTATTGGAAAAGACTGGAGGTCCCGGAATTGTGATAGCATGGATTGAGGATTGATCAACACACCGAGACGGAGTCAGGATTGATTTGATGTGCATGGAGGTCGCTAAAACATAATTAGCGGAGTGCCAAAAGAATCAATCCTAAGGCCTTAATTATTTACCGTCTATATTAATGACTTGGAAAAGTGGGAAGAGTATAATGTAGAGAGATAGTAGGAACTGCCGATGCTGGAGAATCTGAGATAACAAGGTGTAGAGCTGGATGAACACAGCAGGCCGAGCAGGAAAGCTAACGTTTCAGGTCGAGACCCTTCTTCAGAAATCATCAGGGTTGCTTTCTGTGGTTGATTTCTGAAGAAGGGTCTCGACCTGAAACGTCAGCTGTGTTCATCCAGCTCTACACCTTGTTATCTAAGAGTATAATGTATCCAAGTTTTCAAAATATATAAAAATAAGATGCTGTGATATAAGGAATCTGCAAGGGATATAATTAAATGGGCGAAAACTTGGCAGATGGAGTTTAAAGTAGGTAAGTGCATGTTCTCACACTTTAGTTGGAAGAGTCAAAAGTCAAACTGTTGCTGAAATGGAGAAAGAGCGCCTCAAAAAAAAATGAGGCACAGGGGGTTCTGGTTGTTCTTGTGCATGAAACACCATATATTAGCATGCATGTGCAGCAAGTAATTAACAAGATAAATGGAATTTTGGCCTTTATTGCTCGGGAGGTGAAGTTTGAAAAAAGGGAAGTTTAGTTACAGCTGAAAAGGGTGTCCATGAGGCTACATGTAAAGTACTGTGCGCAGTTTTAGTCTCTGTATTTTAAAAAGGATATGCTAGCATTGGTGTTGGTTCAAGAGAGATTTACTTGGCTGATTCATGGGAGG